AGAACTACGGCTTGCCCAAGGTCATCCAGCCAGGTGCAAGTGGAAGAGTAGGGAATCAAACCCGGTTCTCCCAGATTAGAGTCCGCGCACTTAACCACTACACCAAACTTCTTGGCAGGCAGAAGGTCCCAGGTTCAATCCCTGGCATCACCAGTTAAAAAGGACCAGGCAGCAGGTGATGGGAAAGACCTCCGCCTGAGACCCCGGAGAGCAGCTGCCAGTCTGAGTAGACAATACTGACTTTGGTGGACCAAGGGTCTGATTCAGTAGAAGGTCGCTTCATGCGTGTGTTCAATTTCCCCCGAGAAAAATGGCTACTTTGGAAAGTGGACTTTATGACATTATACCCCACTAGGGTCCCTCCTCACCCCAAACCCTCCCCTCCCCAGACTCCACCCCAAAAACTAGGGATGCCAGCCTCCAGGTGGGGCCTGGAGATCTCCCAGAATTGCAGCTCATCTCCAGACTACAGAGCTCAGTCCCCCTGGGCAAAATGGCTGCTTTGGAGGGTGGACTCTACGGCGTTGTACCCGGCTGAGGTCCCTCCCCTCCCCAAACCCCGCCCTCCCCAGGCTCCACCCCCCAAATCTCCAGGTGTTTCCCAACCCAGAGGGAGCAACCCTTCGGAATGAGGCATTTCCTGAGTGAGCTCTGAGTTCCAAACCACCCCAGCTCTGGTCAGGGCGGCCTCCCTGAGAGAGATGGGGAAGATGAGCTTTGAGCAGGCGGCAGCATCCCAGTTGTTTTGAGCCCCACGGTGTGAGGAGAAACTCGAGATTTCCCAGCATGCACCTCACCCATTTTGCTCATGGTGATGTAGTGGAGGTGGTACATGGCTTCTGCGGCCTGCTGGCCAATCTCCTTCACGCTGTCCACTGTCCGCAGGGCCAGCAGCGCCACCAGCTGGCCAAGCAAGGAAAACTCCTGCGATACCTGAAAGGAAGGGAGAGGCGGGAAAGTCAGCCCGGCCACAAAAAGACCGGCATGCTTTCATTCTGCAGGGCCAAAGGCTGCACATCACTGGCCCAAGCGGAAGACAGAGAGAGGAAGAGAGCAAAGAGATTGGATTTATACCCCGCCCTTCACTCGGAGTCTCAGAGCGGCTTACAAACTCCTTTCCCTTCCCCTCCCCACAACAGACACCCTGTGAGGTCGATGGGGCTGAGAGAGCTCCTTCGAGGACTGCCCTTGAGAGAACAGCTCCGAGAGAGCTTGTGACTGACCCAAGGTCACACCAGCAGCTGCATGTGGAGGAGTGGGGAATGAAATCTGGTTCTCCCAGATTAGAGTCCGCGCACTTAAACAATACACCACCTCCCACTTCCCGCTCAAATGCACAGGCAT